GATGAAAAAAAACCTATGAAAGTTTCCATTTGCTGGATTTTTAAACACAATCTTTTTCAACAAAACTGTTAAATACCTTTATTCACCTGCGTGAAATCCAGATTATTTGTTGAGAGCTAGCAATGAAGGAGCCCCAAATTCGGAACAAAAAACCCGGATTCAAACCAGAGTTCATCTTGTACCTCATGGCAAGATGGACACTGGGGCTAAGTTAATTGGGTCCAATGGGTTTTGTTTCAATTAATAAATTGACTGTATTTTCAAGACATTTTTTTATATGTGAAATGATTACTAATGTGCGAAAAATTCTGAAGTCCTATAGTAAACATGCGGCGGGAAGATAGGAAACCTCTCAATCCATTATTTTCAAACAGTTACATGTACATGTATAGATCAGCAGGCTTACATTCATGCATAAATGCCCTTCTAGGCTGCCAACAAGTTGCAAGTCTAGTTTATCAAAAGTCCAGTCACAAGCCACTGATGTCAGCTGTCACATTACCAGCCCCTCACAAGCACTGGGGGATGAACGATGACCGAAGAATGCATTTGTCACAGTTCATTTGAATAGCTCGTGACTTGACTTAAGATCGGATATGACTTGTGATTCACCTTCAAGAACCTCTGAATGTCTTCGGTGCTGATTCAAATTCACGGTCATACGCACTGTGCTGTTGAGTAGCACATACATGTAATTATGCACTGAATATAGGGCCAGCTGGTGTCTCTGACCAAAAACAGGTCATGTATGGAGGATGAAAAGTGGCCATCTGCTTTTCTGCTATCAGAATAGTAGAAAAGCAGATTTTACGTCTTTGAAATATGCAATTTTTTATTTGTACTACTTTTCTGCTACCTCAAAACCAAAATGACCATTTTTTTGTAATGCATTTTTCCACTTTTCTGCTTTTCTGCTAGTACAAAAGTAGTTTTACTTTTCCTCTTTTTGATGGTGGCCGAAAAGTGGCCATCTGCTTTTTACCTGTCAAACAAGCAGGAAAGTGGATTGAACGTTTTGACGACAACCGTGAATTCAACTTTTCTACTTTCTACTTTTACACTTTTCCACTTTTCGGCCGCCTATGTAAAATTGCTCCTCCGGTATCAAAAAGATAAAAAGTAGCATTCACGGTTATTGTCAAAATGTTTGATCCTCATTTCTGCCCGTTCGAAAGGAGAAATGCAGATGGCCACTTTTTGGCCGCCAGCGAATGAAGAAAAAGTAAAATCTGCTTTTCTTGAATCAGAAAAGCAGAAAAATAGAAAAATGAATAACCAACCAATGTTCGTTCTGCTCTTTGAGGTGGCAGAAAAGTAGAAAAGTCAAAATTGCATCTTACCAGGACATAAAATCTGCTTTTTTAACCATTGTGATAGCAGATAAGCAGATGGCCATGTTTCGTCCTCCATAGTCATGTGACACTTTCTTTGTATTATTATTCATGAGTATGATTTCCATCTTATCAATGGCAACATACCGGTACTTGATTCAACGATCCCCCATGCCATTGTACCAGTCCAACATTTACAATGTACGTGTACCTCAAGAAATTTCATGTTGCACACCCAAACTTATGACTAATGTACATGTACACATGTGCGTACATGTACATACATGTACATGTAATAAATGGCACTTAATTACCTGAGGAAACAAGGCGCTTACAAGTAAGGAGAGAAAACAAGAGAAAGACAATTAACAATGAGCTGTAGAAGAGATGTTTCTCCAGAACAGACTTGAATGACGATATACATGTACAGTAAATGTACTGAGGTCCTACGATGTACGTGTACATGTTGTAATGCGTTGGGGTAAATTGTTTCACCGACGGAGGGGCAGCAACAGAAAAAGCCCTGTCCCTAGTCTTCTTTCGAGTCTTAGGGGACGAAGTCTGGGTACTCAGCAGAGAGAACAAGTGTGCATGGCTCGAAATCTCTTGCCATTCTACCCCATGCAATGCGGCAATCATTCAACATGTTGGTCATCTCACTCACTGGGATGTCCATAGTCTTGCCCCAAGACTGGTTTTACTGTTTTTGGCTGGTGCACTGTGCAGGCGAAATGGGCTGATAGGGTGTGCTTCAATCATATTGAAATTGGAGGATTTGGGACAGTTAGGATTAGAGGGTGCAATATTCTCAAGAGACAACCTGCCAGAAAACAAGTTTTGTGGAATCTGGCAGGCTTATGCAAAAAATTCTGAGCATATACCTAACAAGCTTAAATTATCATGAATAATTTTGCACATGCGCACTGCCGAAAACCGCAGTTGGCATTGTGCGCGGTCTTCCACAGAGCATACGTGCATTAGGCCAGTGCAGTATTCATGTACTTGTACTTGTGCATATATAAGACACTGGTATCCTAGTTACTGTGTCAGTCACCGATGTGAATTGTTAAGCCGGAAATACCGGTATTTACAACTTAGACTTTTCTTGTGGGGGGGGAGTACAAATGTTAACACTCAAGGGACTCTACCACTTTGTAAATCACTCCTATTCGGCATTAATTCTACATTTTGACCAATTTGGGTTAGTTCTCCATGGTGAGACACTATGGTATCCTACCTGCATTATTTTCCATTAGAATACTGGTGATGTGATATTTATGTACATGTACAGTACACTGTTCTTTTTTTCCACTGTAAAGTTTGTGTACTGTATTTCAGCCTTAATTTGGCCTTTCTATGTATGTGCAGTAAACACCTAAATGAACAAGCAACAGAATTTGGTAAAAAGTCACTTCTTGGTTTTATAGATTTGATTTCTTAATTGGCGTCACGTGTTAGCCAGTCATATCAGTCCAATACCTACATGTAAGTCATACTGGTACCCGTTACATGGACTTGAACGGATCACCCTTTTAAATTCTTTATAAATTCCTCGGCCACAAATCCATTATTATTGTTCGGCTGCCATTCCGTGTATCACCGCGCATCTGATGAATTATGGATGGTGCTTGCATAAGGCTGCAGGCACAATACAGACATCTTGATTCAAGACTAGGCGGCTGCGGCTACCGGCACTTATTTATTTAACTGCATGTAATTAAAATTGACCAGACTTAGGAGTATCCAATGAACTACGTACGGGCACCGGTGAGAGAATCATGTGTAAACACGGTCTTTCCACCAGGGCACAGAATGTTTAAATAAATTTATGCTTAAATACAGACAATTACATACATGTATCTCATGTGCAATCATCATGCATACATACCGGTACCTACCAGGGTAAATGTATACCGGTATGTAGGTAACTGTGCTATACATGTACAGGCAGGTTTTAACGTCACATGAATGTTCCGGCCAACACGAGACGTACCGGTACCCCGGTACAGACACTGAAATACTGACAGAGGAGCACAATTGGGTATGAAATCTACATGTACATGTACGTGTATCTTCATTAGGCACCTGCAATTTGTCTTTGGCTAAGAGGCCCCTCAACTAACAAGCATGATAAATGATAAGTGTGGCATTGCTGTGTGTACATGTACATGTGTGCGTGTTGAATGGCACCAAAGCTGAACTCTGTTGGCCTGTGGTTGAAACTGCAAAACTTAAAGCAAGCACTGCATGGTCTCTGCCCATGTCCCTTTGACATGTTTGACTGGTTTCCATTGGCGGATTAGTTTTTATCCTGGAGGTCCTCGTTTTGTGCCATATGGGTAACTCCATGTTTTCTTTTATTACACTATCCTCACAAAGACTACTTATGTAAAATTTACAAAGGCATATATTCTGAACCCGGATGTCCAACGGTGAAATCAAGAACAACGAAATCGGCAAATGTCTTTGAGAGCATACATGTACCTTCCGTTACCGGTGCACATGGGATACACATGTACAATGTACCACACCCTTCGCAATACCATGGGCTTGACCAATGTAAAATGAAGTACACAATAAATTTTAGCAACTTTCTGCTGACAGTTACATGTAGGTATAACTTTTTTACTCAAAGATTCCTGAATTTCCTTTATGTGAATCCCTGTAAGAAGATAGTGAAACGGATAGCATTTCATCAGTTCAAAAAAAATCTCACCTTTTTTTTTATGAAGTATAAATTATGCATGTGGAAATTGTAAGAAGAAAACACTAAAAACCTGCGTAACTCCCTGGCTCCAGTCCACAAGTGTAGCCAGCATGATGATGCACAAAGTGGAGGTATTTGAATTGAAGTCACATGCAGAAAAAAACTAGCACATCAGGGAAACACCACTGGTCCGCTTTACTGCAACTGGCATCTCAAAAAGTTGGCAAGTACAGTGTCAGAAAACAGACCAGACCAACTGGGGTGTCGAGTTGGCAAAATAGTTCTTTCCTCGCCTTTCACTTTTGCGACCCGGGTTCGATTTCCGGCTCAGTCCACATGTGGATTGGGGTTTCAGTCTGTACATGATTCCGTGGGTTTTACCTGGAAATTTCTTCTCTAGGTTTTCCTCCCACATCCCGGAACAGTAACTGCTTCTATTGTCTCCTCTCTATAGATATACATGTGTAGGTGGATGTGGGTCGTTTGATGGCTGCCAGAGGCGCCCTTGTTTGCCATTGGCTGGACCACATTTAATGTCTTCACTTTACAGTGAATTTGAACACAATAGTACAGTGTATCTGTATGAAATTTGCACTTTATAAATACCGGTATATGGAAATTATTATTATTATTATTAATTACATCAGTACAGTTTTTCAAAATTAAAAATGTTCTGTGTAACATTGTAAGTGCAACATCAAATCTAAGAACCTCCAACTAATATCAGGCTTCAACAAGGTGTATAAAAAGGTTTCTTGGGCATTATTTTCAGTTTACAGACAAGAACTGGACTGACATTCCTATGCAGCACTTATTGGCTGAGGTACATGTATACCATTGGAACAAATTTAAAGATAAATTTCAGTAAGCACACAAACTATTCAAATAGTGAGAATCTTCTCTGCAAATAGTGCTCAACACTCAACACAAAATATCCCAAAGATCTTTTTTTAAAAACTTACCTTATTTTCGTCCTTGCTGTTCCGAGTTGACGGCAAGCGCTCACAGTAACAACCCTCCAAGAAAATCCATCCCAAGGGTCGCTGGGCTGTGTCACTTTCAAAGTAGAAGAGAAGGTTCTGGTAGAGAGCAAAGAAGCGCTGCTTCCATTTCAAAGTGTCTGAGCTCTTCTTCTGGAGGTGGCCGGCGATCATGTGATCTGTCTTGGCCCTGGTAGCCAGGTGGAGGAGCTGGGTCTCTTCGTAGCGCACCGCCTTCTGCATAGTGACTGGCTTGGTGTGCCAAAGTACTGGCAGTGGGGACAAGTACAGCAGGTTATGATTTAAGGTGAATGTTCCGATGCAAGGTTTACTTTTGATGATTTTTTTAAGAGGAAGGAGCGAGTTTTGGGCAACTGCAGGGATGAAGCCACCACTACTCCTTCCGCAGTGAGGTCAAGCGAGGGTAGCTACATGAGAAGTAGGCTTCTGTCACCGATTTTATCAGCGTCATCACCACAGCCCTGCATCCCCTGCCACGGTGCTACAATACTTGCGGCAATCACTGCTCCATCCATGAACTCCCTAAGTGATGACCAAGGATACAAAATATGAGAACAAGCAAAATTAGCACGGGAGGGAACAGGTGAGGGAGGTAGCTAACATCGGCTGCACCCAACTGTATGCAAACCTGCCCAGCAGCCTGCCATCAATAATGGTGATTTAGCAATGGACGGGGCAGGCACTTGTTTAGTTTGTCGTCATTCATATAAGCCCCCTTGAAGCGTCAGGAAAAACACTTGCAGCAATGATAACAAAGTAGGGCTTGGCAATCAGCTTATGTCATGCTGGTTTGCTCAGGATCAGGCAACCATACTGTTACTAAACCATTCAACCGACATACATGTAAACATGCACGGATCTCTTGGTCTAAGCCAGGGACAATTAAGCAGCTACATGTAGCTTCCTCAGGGCAAGGCAAAACACAGAGTCTGCACAGAGAGACACAGCTGAATGCCCTCGACACAAGCACAATCAGCGATTATCCCCCCCAGTCCACTCCCTATGTACGCACACTTTCCACATGGCAGGCAAGGCCGTGCCAGGCGCGTGGCCACAATGAATGGGCGCTATTGGTGCGTCGCGTGGATGGGTGGAGCCACAGTTATAAATCATTTGCCGATCAATGACTTGTACGTGGTGGACTTTGAATTAGATGTAAGTGGCATCAGTTCAACATGTGCAGTTATCTTGTATTAAGGTGAGAGAGCAACAGCGTACCGTACAAAGAAGTGTTTTTGTGTGTGTGTGTGTGGTAGCACACTCGTGAGTGAATTCATTGGTTCTGATGCTTTTGTCATGCCCAGCAGGATTATTTAGATTATGTTTGACAGGGACCAGTGGGTCGATTGGCACTGACAAGTTAATTTGGGCTGTAAAAAGGGCATGTTTCCAAGGCAACACACGGTTATCATTTTTCTATATTTTGCATATTTCCAGGGTTGCAAAATGAATCACTCCTTGCATGGCAACTGTTGCCTGGCTCGTCTGAGCACGTTAGACATCAAAAACTTGTCACTTTTGACTGCTCATGCTGGTATCACATGTACTGGTAAATGCGTGGGCCTCACAGGAAGGGGGAGGACAAAGGAGGTACTCCTTCCACCCCCCCAAAAAAAAACTTTAAAAAAAAAAAGGAGAAAAGGAGGAAAATGAAAGAAATGAAGACAAAAACAGACACGGAAGGAAATGAAAATCGCCAATGTACTTTAAAAATCCAGAAATTTCCACCTTCCACTACCTAATATTAATAGTTTATGAGTTCATTGCCGATGGGTTTTTTTTTACCAGCGTCTCACCTCCTGGGGAATTTCCCCTCTCCCCTCAGAAAAAAAGTGCTTTGCTTCCCCCTTCCCTCTGGAAAAATCCTGGCTACAGCCATGACTACCTGTTCTTCTGTGCATTTTACTCTTTAGGTAATGGTGATAATATACCTGATGAGCACGTACGGGCATACTATGTGCTGGTACCTGAATGTACATTGTACATGTACATGTAGTGTTCTTCATCATTCAGGGGCAAGCAACAAAATCGGCAGCTACTCGTGCATGTAATTTGCACCTTCTTTCTTTGGCATAAATGGAAATAGCATTACTCTCAATAAATCGCATTACTCAATGAAAATAAGCACATTGCTACTTTTTATCGGAATGTTGGGGCCTCTGAAGTTCTTTTAAATACCTCTGGATTCATTACAGGCTTTGACTGTCATCTTGGTCTGTTTCTGTCTTACATGTACATGTAAGTATTAAAATACATATTTTTTTCAGCAGAAAAATACAGGTCCATCCATGTACATGTACCAATATCCATAATGGTACAGGTGCTTGCAGGTGCCAACCTTACATTCCAAGCGTAATCTTGTGAGCAAAAGAGGTCCACATAATGCAGGCAATGCAAACCAAGTGCGGATTAAACCAGGTCCACACAAGGTTTAATATCTCCTTTGTGGAAAACAAGTTTAGAGCGATTTTGAGGTTAGGGTTACCATAGCAAAAAGAAGAGGAACAGTCAAGAAAGCAATTGACAAAAATCCAGCTTAAAAGAGCGTACAGAGTGTAACACAAATGAGTATTTTCACTGAGTTTTCTTTAATTTTACAAAAAAAGAAAGGATTGTCCACCCTGGGTACTTGAACATTTACAGTCCCTGAAGTAAACGCACATGTTCAAGGTACCGAACAGGTCTGTACATACACAACACTTTATGCAATGCACATGTGTACACATTGGTACTATGCAACAGCTGGTTTACAAAATACATGTACATGTACACCGTATTGCTGGTGACAACGGCAATTGAGCAACACCTCAAAGTTTTTGACAGGTCTGTGCATGTACATGTAGGTCCTGAGCATCAGGAGGGGTAAGTCGTTCTGCCCCTACCAGGAAAAGAAATGAAAAATGAAAAAAACAAATGGAAACAAAGCAAAAGAAATTAAGGAGAGATTAACAAGGATGACATTTGCTTTAAAAATCTCAAAACTGACTCCCTCCACTATTGACCCTATTTTTGTCAGGAGTTGGTACCCTCCTAAATCCTTCAAAATCCTCCAGCAATTCCTGTTGTTGTGTTGGGACACTGCAAATGGTATCCTGGAGCAGTATGGATGATTTCATGTATATGAATTCATGACAGGCTGAGCACAAACAACACAGGGTCTAATCGCATAATGCTGACACAATGCATCCTTTGCAGTCAGCCACACTTTTTGGCTATTCTTCCTCAATCCTCCAGAATCCTCCAAAACTACCACAAGGATTTTGAAGGACTGAGGAGGACACGTGAACATGTACATATGTAGGATAACGGTTTATCATTTTGTTGCTGATGAGTGTTTTGCACCCCCCCCAAATGCTCCCTCCTCCAAAAAAAAAAAATCCCAACTGGGAAAAAAGTGCTTGGCTTCCCCTACCCCACCCCCAAGAAAATAAAACTGGAAACACCCATGTCAAAGCCCTATGGAAAGATAATAATATAATGACAAAGCAAGCATTGAAAGAATTCCATGAAGTCTTTCTGTCCAAAATGTATGCACCTGTGTACATAAATGTACGCCACACATGTATGGTATAAATTATAATATACAGGTATTTATATCTTTTCAAGGGTTAATGGCTCTGTGTAAAATTATTTGGGGGGTTTTGTGGACAACCGAACATTAAGCAAGACAAAAACTACAGAATAAGAAAACTGATGAAGCCGAAACATTTTTAAACAAATACAATTTAAAAAATAAAAAACTGAAACAATTTTTAACGATTCAGGGGCCAATGTAGCTTATTTATTTTCTATACTATTCTAAACACATAGTGATTAATTTTTTGTTGAATAAGGGAAAGTTTTAATTATCCATTCCAGGGTGTTCTTTTTTGTTTTGGGGATAGTATTTTGCTGCTTTTTTTTTTTCTTATTGTGCATATAACCATGTCACACTTTTCAACAATGCTTGTGACTATTTTTGTCTGAATTTTTGCTAGGGATACTACTTTTTATCTTTCTTGGCGTTGCTTCAAATTTTACTGGGGCTGGGATTTTCAATTTTTACTCCACTTGTTCGTTTGAAATTTTTGTCTTTTATGCATTTGTTTTTTACTTATTAAAAAAAAAACACCTAAAAATTTAGCCAATGGCTACAGGTTCAATTTTTTAACAAACGACACAAACAAACCATAAAATTAGAACAAGATGTCCACAGGCATTATTTTGTGGGCCAGCACTTACGGCCTTCTTTTCTCCTTTCCTTTTCTCAGAACTGAAGCCAAGCAAGCAACTCACCCTTGTCACTCTTGATTATGAACATTGCGAGGGTGATTGACAGCCCAGCTTTAATTCCATCCAACGCTCAAGACTTCTGTGAATTTTGCCAGTTGACTCAATTAAAAATCGGGTCACTGCGAACTGCACCACTGACTTCACACTGAACAAGAGACCCTGATAATTACATGTACACTTCAGGAACTCCAACGAACACACCTTAAAGCTGTGCACGAACATCGCTAATTTGCAATAAGGATCAAATGGACACCTAAAAAACCCACAAAAATCAACCAAAAAAATGGAAATCAGAAAGGCAGTGGAGGGGGTCAACGTGACAGATGAGTCATTATTCATCCTTTTTCTTTTTTACAAATAATGGACGCATTTCCTGCAAAAGTGTATGAATAAATAAAATGGTGCCTGGATACATGCTGAATAATAGATTTAACACATCCTGTTTTGGAGTTAACTATCCTGCTCCCAGAGCAAAATAAAGTCCACGTTTACACATTGTGGCAATTTGGGATTAAATTTCTACGAATTCATTAACTTGCTTGCCATAGAAATGAGTCCAGCCTACCATAATGCCCTGGATTAAAACCTCTTAGTGGGAAAATGCAGTTTAAAAATAGACAGCCTCTTATTTCAACTGATGCTGTTGTCCACTTCCAAAATTAGTATATATTAACCATTTTTTTCTGACTTTGTTATGTACATGTAGAGTAGATAAATAGGGAAAGACAACCCAACTGAGAATACCGTACGCAACAGAAACAAGACACTAGAAGCAGAGCACAAACGGTAAACAAACAAATCTCAACAGGGCATGCAACCAGTATCTTAGTTTATTTGGTTTATGGGCTAAACAAATTTAAAATGAATTTAGTAAAGCGTAAAATTTCTCTGACTTAAATTCAAATCCTCTGATCTAAATACAATTTGCATACAGAGCTAGGGTTATTTAACGGTTCTTTGTTTTTATGGGAACAAGTAGAAGTACATGTAGGACTCATTTATTGTTTTCTTGAGGCTGAATTTAACCAAGAAAGGTAGGTTGACTGAGCGCTAGGCAACAGGACATGCAAGGGATGCATGCAGTACAGTTGGACTCTTTTTCCGCAGGAATCCCTATACTCTCCTAAGGTGCGTGTAAAATCACATTGAAATTGGAAGATTCAGGACTGTTAGGGGTAATGAGTGGCGTAACTATAGGGCTAAATGTCTGGGGGGGGGGGCCTAGGGGTGGACACATTTTTTCCAGGGGGTAAGCTGAAGACTCTGCATTTCAATGGAGATGATTCGTAGATTTCAAATGGGGGCGGGGGCTACCGGGGGGCGGCGTCCTCCCTCCCAGTTACGCCACTGGTGGCAATGTTCATTCCAGAGCAGAAACATACAGTGTACATGTAGGGCTACTACACATAACACGGCACATGTATAATACTCCTTCAAGTTTCTATTGCCGTATTTCAAGCATTTACATACATGTTAACAATTTACTCTGACAACTACCGCACACGCCATATAAACCTACCAGTATATACTGTGGTACTGGCTAGAAGTGGACTTGGACTGCATGGTTTTCAATGTGTTCCATACTAGGGCTGTGCCAATTATCCGAATATTTGATCAATTATTGAATATTTGAAATTATGTTTTGACTTTGAATATATTTGAATGCAATTCAGGAAACGGATTTTCTTTTGTTTTAAATATGGAGGCTTGTTTCAAGCAGATTCAAATTCAAAATTCTTAGGGCAGTTCCACGGAAACATCAACCTCTGGGCCAAAATTTCAAACTGGTCCAAATATGACAAATTATATATCATTTTGAAGCTTATGGTGTATACTTTCATGAAACATACTTTATGTCTACCAACATTCAAGAATTTGGCTTTTATATGATACTGAAAAATTGGTTTTAAATACCGAGAAATTGGGGAAAATATTTCCCCTCTGGACGATTTTCTGTTTTTTAGCCTGATAATAATTTTTCTCCAGTTTTGTTACAGTTTGAAGAGTGCCCCAATAAGTAAACAATGACAGAAATGAATTTTCATTTTCCTTTGGAAATTCTATGTAATGTCTTATTTTATAACACACTTTTCTTATGTACGTCCGACACCAAAATGACGTAGTTTTTTATCCCCTCGGTGCACCCTTCAGCAAAAGACTGCCAAATTTACATTAACTCCCCCCGATTATTTTTTCAAATACTCAAAAATTGTGGAATCAGATGTGTACGTCCGACACCCTGTATGTCCGACACTATCAGAACCATGCATTGCTGGCAATGTAATGCTTTTACACTGTACAGAAACCACTACCACCTCATTTGCATACATGGAAATGAGGCCCCAACCTTTTGTAACAATACCAAATAGGCTTCACTTTTGTTTTTTTACTAATTTGCATAAATTTGGCTATTTGGACATACACATCCTAATGAGGTTATAATTAGGACCCAAAGCCAATTCACATGTGTCATGTGTGGACAAAAAGGTGCTTTGCATGTATTCCGAAGTAAGTCATGTCAGTGTGAGCTTTGATGAAGACAAGTAAAGTTCTAGGTGTTGTATACATGTACATGTAATCCACATCAAGAAAGAAGAATTGTCACAGACTAAACAAAGGTGTGTGTTTTTTTATACCCTTGTTCAAGGTACATGTAAAATCAATTGGTTTAACTTTGTGTTGCTTGA